ATATATATATATATATATATATATATACATATATATATATATATTTGCATCTGTTCAAGCATAAACCTTCATTTTAGTGCACATGAATCCTGTTGTACCTTTTGCACATGAATCCTGTTGTACCTTTTGCACATGAAGGGTGGAAAGTGGTTCGCAGCTTCTCCTGAAACCAGCCGAACATTTCCGAAGCTTCTGGAGTTCCAGCGCAACTTTTGTTCAAGGCTCCTCATCTCTGTCAGTGGATCTAAATTTACATGACAATAAATTATCACTGATCTTGTTCTATGCACTCACGCTGTGGTCCTCCTGTCCCTGAGGGCTGGATAGGATCTTTTTGTATTCTGACCTTTCATTTGCTTCAAAACAGTCTACAAATAATGATTATCATCACAAGCGTTTGACAAGACAAAATACTTTTGGCACTAAATGTGTTCCTAAAGTCTACGTATAGAAGAAAAGCGCCATTAATCATATAATTGTTTTGTGTTTAAGCTCTTATCCAAAGTGACCTCTTGTGGCCATGTGATGTTAGATGGATGGAAGTTTTAAGGGTGAAGTTTGAGGTGGACGTGCCACCCAACGCAAGCGTCACATCAACATTTATTCATTTGTGAGAGAAATGACAAGCAAGAAAATCATCAGAAACAACTGCAGTGGTTGTTTCAACCTTTGCTCTGATTGATTCAAAGCTTATTATAAAGACATTCAATAATGTAAGTTGTTAGGGGAAATTTCACCCATCTTTCCTTCCCTTCCTTCATTCATTGTGTCACTTCAATGTGGGACCTCATCCAGATGACTGAAGGCACCCAGAGTGCAATCTTCAGGTTTTTTACAAAATTTTTGTTTTTTGAGTTTCATCACTTCTGTCAGAAATGGATCCTGATCAATTCTAACGCATCAACACAACAATCTGATTAGTCAGCTGTAAGACTCACCTTTTCTTCCAGTAGAGTTGAAACGGAGTAACTCTCGTTAGTATTTTCCTTTGGAGGACGTAGAAGTCGGGTTGGACCCTGTGCGTCAGGGTGAACGTTCCATCCATGTGACAAGGAGGCACTTGACTCTGTTATTGTTTATGGGGAGAAAGCTGGAGTCAAGTTCACAGGCCAGAAGAGACAGAGGAGTTCCAGCTCCGGCCCCGAGACAGAAAACATAACTCAGATGTGTTTGTACTTCCACAAGTCCTTTTGATTCCGCAGAAAATGACGAGCTTAGCTGCAATCCAAAAAGGAATCATAAACCTGCCCTTGCATTGAAGTGTATGATAAAAATACAGTTTGTTCTGTCACTAACTGTGAGCTGTAAGCAGAAACACTGAAGTGTCTGTAAGAGGCTTAGCTTTCACACTAGCTTTGACATAAACACTGGGACTGTTTTCCCCAGCAGTTGATAAAATAGCACTTTGCAGCAGCTTTTGCTAATAGTTTCAATTCCGACAGAGATTTTCCTGATTTGTTTACTCGCTCTTTGGAATTATTCGGGTCAGCTGAATCAATCGTGGCATTCTCAGTCTAATATCACAAGCTGCCGGAGCAGTTCGGTCCTAAGCTTTTTGATTAAACTCCATTTCATTTCCATTTTATTCCTTTTAGGAATAGGACCCTTTCATTAGTCCTTTTCCTTTTTTTATTCCTCCAAAAGCTTTTTCCAGTTAAGGCAGATAGCTAAGCTTAAGTCGGTGCTGACCTGATCTGACCTTGAAAAATTAGCCCATGCATTTGTTACAACTTAGCTGGACTACTGTAACGTGCTTTATGTTGGGGTCAGTCAGGTGTCCCTCTCATGTCCCCAGCTCGTCCAAAATGCTGCAGCTCGGCTTTTAACAGGAGCTTGTAGGTTTGAGCATATTTTACCAGTTTTGTCCTCCCTTCACTGGCTCCTTGTATGTACCAGAATTCATTTTAAAATTCACCTGTTGACCTTTAAGTGCATTAATGGTTTTACACCCTCATACTTCTCTGACCTACATCATATGCTTCTTCTCGGGTGCTGAGATCATCTGATCAGCAGCTTTTGGTTGTACCAAATACCAGGTTGAAGCTCGGAGATCGGGCTTTTTTGGGCCCTAAACTCTGGAACAATCTACTACACCCCCCTCCCCCCACCACCAACATTAGACAGGCCACTTCACTCCCTGCCTTTAAATCTCTCCTAAAAACACCTGTTTTCACTGATGTTTATGATCTGATTGATTATTTCATTGTTTCTCATTGTGTTGTTATGGTTTTATTTGTTATGCGTTCTACATAATTGTTAAATATTGTCAAGCACTTTGGTAACAGTTAATGTTTCAAATGTGCTTTATAAATTAATTTGACTTGACATGACTTTTTTTTTTATTTTTCTAAGTGTGTCTGAGCCACAGGTCAGTTAAGGATGCGAATCATCACAGACTGGATGATTTATGACCTGAAGACAACATACATGTACAAAGAGAAATAATGGTTGAACTTTGATGTGTTTAAAAAATATATATATATTTCAGTTCAAAAGTTACTTTTGATTATCAGTAAGATCTTTTTGTGGAGATAATTAGATATTTATGATCGATGTGTAACAAAAGATCTGTAAAAACATGTAGTTTTTTTTTGTTTTTACAGTTGTTGTTGTTTGTTTGGTTTTGTATTCTCTATGAACTCTGCAACTCTTGTTTTTAACTCCAGATGAACTCTGCACACTGAGCCCGTCTCCTCACCATCAGCATCATCTTCATCACTTCACCACAGCGCGCGCGCGTCCTTTTGAAAATCGCCTTCCTCTTCAAACCCTGTAACCCCTGCTTCCATCCAATGAGCACAGGGAGCCCACCCTCCCCTCCTTCCCTCCCCCCTCCCGCACTCCCTCAGCTCGGACTCTTTCCACGGTGCGCTGATAAAGGAGAGGTCGGGCACCAGCATCCGAGCCAGAGAAGAGTGCAGGCAGGACGCACAGCGGAGGGTTGATGTCCACAACTTTGGGCTCGGACTTTATTTCTGCCTCTGAGCTGAGAAGGATATCGACACCACAGAGGGGAATAAGGCGTGTTGCTGCCCCCCTCCTCAGGTAAGGCAGACAGAAGTTCTCAGAGGAGGGAGTCCGGTGCGCACATGGCACCGAAAAAGCGCTTTTTGCTCCGCTGACAGCCGCGCAACATGGACTCACACACGGGACCGTGAGAGCAGCCTGACTTCCACACAAGTGACAAACTAAAGGCAGGATTTATCTTTTATCACCACCTCTTCTTTGGTATGAAGACAAGAGAAATGCTGGGTTTGAACCGGACTGCCAGCCTCAGACCTGCCCGGGTTCAGCCGGGAGTCGGACCCTCATCATCCCGACCTGCATGTCACAACCCGGGTACCAGCTCCAGGATTTATTGCGCGTGTCTGTTGCTGCTGCTGCTCGTCACGCCTCGGGTGGACTCGTCATGGTGGTAAGTGGGATCCCCAAGTGGGATATTATTATTTCATATTTTATAATAATAAATCTTAACTGTGAAAGAGGGTTAAACTTTATTGGTTTAAAATGTAGACAAATAAAAAAAAAGTTGTTTTTTTTTAACAGCAGATGATAAGGCCACTTTAACAAATAGGCTAAATTTACATCAAACAAATCTTTATTTATTTATTTATTATTATTATTATTATTATTATTATTATTATTATTATTAGTAGTAGTAGTAGTAGTAGTAGTAGTAGTAGTAGTAGTAGTAGTAGTATTAAAGCATTAGGGCCTACATAGATTGCAGCTGATATTTAAGTTTCATATCCAACCAGTCTCTTTGCAACTTAATTAATGACAGCAGACATACTGTATAGGCTTAATGCTTTTCTGTCATAATTTAATTTAATTATAATGACTCGCATCCAAAGAAGGAGCCAGTACCACGACGGAGCGCTTGGAAAGACCTAAGTTATGAGTTTGTGAATGGGATTCGAGCGTTTTAACGATTTTACGTTTAAAACAACAATAAAAATAAAAAAAAGGTGCATTTTCTGCGAGTCAGTTTGTTGGCCTGACATGTTGAACAAATAATACCAGCGCGATGGAGGTCATTTATCTCAACGCTGCTGGCTGAGCGCACAAGTTCAGCTCAGCTGGAGTCTGGATTGGAAAAGGCAGAGAGATCATTAATTCTGCAGGTACCATTACCTCCCCCCCCCACCCCCCACCCCCCAACACACACACACACAGATGACTTCACCAAAAAAAAAAAAAAAAAAAAAAAAAATCCTGTGCATAGGAGAGGGCTTTAATAATGCAGTTACATAAGTGAAAATGTCCATGCCTATGAGTGTGTTTATGGGAGAGGTGTCTGTGCGGGGGTGGGTATTGGGGGGAGTGAATGGAATGTCTAATAGTTTGTGTAGATTAAAAGCAGTTATGGGGAGGTGTGGGGGGAGTGTGTGCTGAAGCTGTGACTGACATTTACAGGCTTTGGTGGGAATGCATGTGAGGAGCTCTCCAAAATGTTTCTATCATTTGGGGCAGGTGTGGGGCTGCACACATGGGTGACACAACTACTGTACTTGAAAAGCATTCATTTGTAATAATCAAGTTCATTGGATTAAATCTATATTTAGTTTAAACTCTTTAGTTTTGTGGGAATAATCAACCCATACACTGATTCTGAGCACTTTTAGTGTATTCTGATCAAAAACACAAAAGCTCACCTCTTATTCAGACAGATTTTTTTAGGGTTATTTGAAAACAATTAAACAAATATGTAAAATAAAACATGTATTATTGACACTTTTCTGATCTTTGATCAATTAAAAATAACACTGCATTGTCACAAAAACATTATGGCTGCATAATCTTGGTTCCAGAAAAAGAGCAGCTGTTTCTCCCTTGTCTCATTCCATGTGATCCACGGTATTCTCACGGGGATTTCGCAGAGTGCTATTTTACACCTGTGGATAATGATTTACCTTCTTATAAAATCCACAGTTCCTCCTTTCTCTCTGAGAGTCGGAGAGAGAAAATGAGGTGTGAATTGCTGCTCCGGCACTTTCCTTTGATGCACATACCGCTCTTTTCTCCTCTCTCTAATCTCGCTCTGGGGAGTATTGAGTCTCCAGTGTCCATCCTCTCACTTAGCCTTATAAAACCCATCGCTACACACTCCGTTGCCTCCACCCCCCATTCTCTGACTCACCAAAAGGCCCTGAAGCCACCAGGCTGCAAGATGTCTCATGCACGGGCACAAAAAAAGTCATAATGTCAACAAAGCATCTTCACAAGACGCTGAGATGTCAGTTTTATTAGAACAAGGAGAAATAGTTGAAGAACCTTTGAGCAAGATGAAAGCAATTAGATAAAGACGGAGGAGTAAAGTGAGTAAATGGGGTCTAGGTTTGACAGGGTTATTGGAAGGCCCGAGTCTTTGCGCTCTGATTTGTGACGTGATTTTTACTATCCCATCGGGAAACATTCAAACACACACGCAGGTCTTGTGGAGAGAGGTTAAGTGCTTATTTATTTGGAGAGTGGAGTAAATGGTTTCCACTCCCCTCCTACTTGCAAACCTTAAACTGTTAAGTGTAGTGAACTCTGACTCGTGGAGGACTTCTACTGTAGCTCTTCGTGTCACTCACCCGAGTAAACACATTCACTTTAGTCACCAATCGCTGCCGTCTCATGCATTTGAAATCTTTCAAACGGCACGAAAGATTAACTTTGTTTCTGGCGCCTGTAGGTACATCGGCGCTCTAGGAGCTCGCGTAATCTGCGACAACATCCCTGGCCTGGTGAACAAGCAGCGGCAGCTCTGCCAGCGCCACCCAGACATCATGCAGGCCATTGGCGAGGGCACCAAAGAATGGATCAGAGAGTGCCAGCACCAGTTCAGACACCATCGATGGAACTGCAGCACGCTGGATCGTGACCACACGGTCTTTGGACGTGTCTTGCTTCGAAGTAAGTCTGTGCGTGGGAACTGGTTTTGTACATGATTAGCCCAGAAACCATGGGACCACATTTAAAATTGATCAAGATCATCAAACGCTTACACATTCCCATAGATTACCACTGTCACCAGAAGATCTATACGTAGGTATGTTCCGTCCTTTTTTGGATTATTGTTGGCCTCGGAGGTGATTTTAAACAACAGAAGGATGAGAAATATCTCTCAGCATGGTATAAAATGTCTTCAAAAGCTGAAACAAGACTTTCTGTTGACGATGTTGCATTCATTGCTGATGCTACAGACAGTAAGGTCCAGCTGCATGCAAGGTCTGTTGATCCTTCATGTAAAGTGCCAACGAAAAGCAGTTAGACCAGCAAATGTTGGTTAAAATAAAGATGGAAGCAGTAAAATTAAACACAGACTGGAGAACAAAGCTTGTTTGCTGAGTTGGACTCACCACATGTAGAATGGTTTGCTCGACAAACCCAGACAGAATAGGTAACTGGAGTGGCTGCACATGTGGAAGACTTTTTATTTTGGGATTTGTCAAGGATTTCATAGTAAGCTGAAGGGTTTACATTTTTTTTATTCCAGCTTTTTGAAAAACATGTTTTCACTACTTGATTACCTGAAAGAGGAGCATCCATTGGTTTGAACAGCTAATGCCACTTTTATGACACAGTTTATTTTAGGAATGACTTGTTTGTTGATTTTGATCGGCTGTTTGGATGCACCATGTACTTTTCCGATTTAATTTTTCTTCTTTCCTATGTGTTATTTTGTATGTGCCATGCTCAAAAGTACTGTATGGTCAGTATTGGCAGTGCAATGGCTCAGTGGTTAGCACTGTTGCCTCACTGCAAGAAGGTCCTGGGTTCAATCCCCGTTTGGACCTGGGGTGTTTCTGTGTGGAGTTTGCATGTTCTTCAGACCAAAGACCACAGACCAAAAACATGTATGTTAGGCTGCCTTGAGGCCCAGACCTCCCTTGCAAAAGAGATCTGGGATCTCATTGGGACTTGCCTGGTTAAATAAAGGTTAATAAATAAATAAATAGGGCATACAGACTACTGGCTCTACCAGTTTTGCTGATCTTAGTGCAGACATTGAAACAGGAGGAATTTTCTTACGTTCTTACCCTTTATTAACTATTTTTATCTCCTTCTCTCTGTTTTTCCTTTCCCTTCATCCTCTTTTATCTCTTGTCTTTCCTTCTGGTGAGCTAGATATCCCAGCACTCCTTTATAGTCTGTTGGGCTGTTTTAATCATAATGTCTGACTTCTCGTCTACAAACAGACAAGATTCAAGACGTGGATGCATTGTTGTCACAGCCAAGTGTACACCTAAGCATACAGAAACATTAGCATGTTGTGCTTTGCAAACTTTCCACATGCACAGAAATGGATATTATTCCTCCTTGTGACATGTTCATGAAGTGTGACCAAAAGGTCAGCACCAAAACCATGAAAAGCAGGCTGTGGTTGTACTGGTCAAGTTTTGTTTTCTCCCTGACACTGACATGAGTCTCTCTCTCTCTCTCTCTCTCTCTCTCTCTCTCTCTCTCTCTCTCTCTCTCTA